TTATTATTTGTATTATTTTCAGAAACAAACTGCTTCCCGAGCTTTAATTATTCAGGGTAGCACATTTTAACTGCAATATAATTCTACATGCATATCACTTAAAACGTTTTACAAAAGGTTTGAAAAAACACAAATGAAATCACTCTTAGAATGGTTTAAATAAACACTTTATTATATCTAATCAGGAATATTTATTGCACTTCCGATATCACAATCTGTGTGTCTGTCTTTATCGTATGCTTTTATTCTTAAAGTTTATGTACAAAACATGGTGAAATAATATCCAATCGGCTAATTTACAGCTATTGATTAGCGCGCATGTCCCCGAAACAGTCTAAAGAGAAAATAAAATACACCCAGTCAGCAAATATCTCTTTTGTAAAGTTGACGACGCATAATGTCCCTTTCCTTATTCACTGCGGTATACCGTACCCCGGATATTGCTCGAAATTATGAGGACTTTTATCCCATTTCGCAACTTTGAACGAGGAAAGAAGGTTAGTTGAGTGACGATATTTAGTCATTTTGAAATGGTTTGATATAAATTTTATAGAAAAACAAATACTTCGATCATTTCTCTACTTACTGAAAACCCAAAAAGGTTGAGAAATAGCTTTGAAATGTAATTAGGAGGTAAAATTCGTCTCTTTGCTCACGTGATAAATGAGCTCGGATCAGTCAAATTTGATGTTTTTGTGCATATACTTCCTATATAGAAAAACTTGAATCGAGTGAAATGTGTATATGATGATAATGTTTATGTTATAAATGTTCAATCAACAATAGAACCCCAGATTACAGTGCATTTTGAGAATAAATACGCATGTCAGTGTACCGAGTATTGCGTTGGAGTTTCCCGCCGGTGTCACGAGTATTGCTTTTTAGTGTAACGAGTATTGGTTATCAATGTAGAGTAAATGCAAGTAGTAAACACAGAGTATTTCCTACATTTAATTTTAAATATTTCTTATTGTGTATACTTATTAACACTATATGTGCAGAATATGCAGAGTTCGGAGGTACTTTACTAGAAACATCTGCGAATAATCCAGATTTTCATTCCTGATCATGAAAAATCTCAGCAATTTTCTGTGTTTAAAAAGTTCTCGTTGCTATCGAAGGATCAACCTTTCCAGTATTTGTTAATAATTATTGCATGTCTTACTTAAAATAGTAAAAAAATGCGTCCAAAGTGCATTAATGCTGACTCAAGATTGTCAATATTAGACGGTATTGAGCAAGTGTGACTTCCTACTAAGCCAAAAATCCATATTAAGGTAACTTTCGGTCATTTTGCACCTGCACTCTAGCAACGGCAGACCGTCTGCACGTGATGCAATAAAAAGGTTATATTCCTTATAACCTTTTACCTCATGAAGGCGTGTTTTGAAGGCTTTACACCCCACCCCTTTCAGGCCTCAAATAGTGTAAAACATGAGCTATTAAATTTTAGAACCCAAACACTGTTTATTTTCCTTTGAGAAATGTTGTTCAAAAGAGTGATCAACCCCATTAAAAAGGTACATCAAGGGGGGTGCCACAGGCGGGGGGTGTGCCTCCTTCTGTTTGGGTTTTGAAGTGGGGCAGTAGCCCCTCTAATCGCCGAGAAGATTTTGGACTTGTGGGGGGGGGGGGCTAAAATTGCCTCAGGTCGATTTAAAGATACCGTGTAATCAACACTGAAAACCTTAGACTTTATCTCAATCAATTGAGAAGTTGCTGCACCTTGAAAGCAGTTTTGATGGAAAAAAAAAACAACGCAAAATAGAGATTTTTGGCAATTTTGAGACGTCCCCAGTTGCCATTGTAACTGGAAATTTAAAATTGAGCATGCTATTCCACAGGTTATGGTCAACATTTGTGCCCAGTTTCTTAAGACAAACTTGCCTTGTAAAAACCTATTAATGTCATCAAAATATGTTTTGTTATTTTTCTTTTCAGAGATGGGTCTCCTTGATCACAGTTTCTTGAGACATGTATTTAAAGATTTTTATCGTAAATTGTGATGATACTACCCTGCTCCGACCCTGCACAAACTTTATTTCATCCATTGTGTGATTTTCAATCGAATGGGAAATTAAATCTCTGTATTTGCCCGTAGGAAAAGAACAGTAATAACACTTAAAATGCATTGTTGAATCTGAAATATTTGAATACACATGTACATGTAAATATCATATAAACAGTACATTATCAGCAAATGAAATGGAATCGATAAACAGACGTGAAAATTAGACAAAAATATCGATTTTCCATACTAATGTGCTCATTCTGTTTTGCAATACACTGTACACTAAAGTTGGGCTATTTTGCAATACTCTGTACACTTAAAATCAATACTCGGTACACTTTCTTGTATCTTTTTTGGCCTGTATCTTTTTGTACTTTAACACTTTTTGCCTGAAATTTGGACAAAGCATACTTGGATTGTGAATAAAAAATTCTCGATTCAATTTTTTTTATATCGGTAACCTAATAATTTCTAACTATTCTACAGTATCGCGGTCAGTATTTTCTATTGAGCAGCGGATCGTTTAGGGGTAGTTTAATCAATTTTACAAATACCTGTAAATACTTTTACGTCTTGTAGAGCTACAAAAATACCTCTAGATATATAAAACTCGTTGAGATAAATGAAATTGCCATTAGTTTGGAAAATATCGTCGCTGAACTTACCTTCGTTCCCCGTTCAAAGTCGCGAAATGGGATGAAAGTCCTCATAATATCGAGCAATATCCGGGGTACGGTATACCGCAGTGTTATTAATACTCATGAATTAAAGGTAAAAAATGAAGTTTTACTTTATTTAAACGATGGGATAAAATAACATATTTTTACTTATTCTTCATTTGCCTATGATGAATAAGGAAATGTCTCGATGTTTCATCTGCATGTTTAATCTGACACTGACCAATTTAAGATGCAAATCAAGATTTTTTTTTTTTTGATTTTTTTTTTTACATATTATGATCTAATAAGTCGGTATTGCTCCTTTTCTTCAATTACATTTTTACTTAAAGTTTAATAATTACACATATGAATATTATAAGTCACATGTTACAAGTTCAAATATATTTAGCAAGATCTTCATTTCAGACTTTATCTCAGTTGCGAAGTTAAACATGTATTTTTTCCGATTGCTGAATTTATAACTGGGGAATACCTGCAAGCGTGAATGGAGATCATTTCAAATGTTATGATATAAATATTTCTAAAAACGTATTTCCCTAGAGTAAATTGTAATCCAGAAATCGAAAAATGCCCCAATTACAAAAACAACAACAATATAAGTCAATGAACCCGATCTTCGTGCATTTCGAAACAATATTATAAATGTGTATTAAGAAAAACTAAAAAAAACCTACACTTTTTCATTTTCAGATTGCTGCTTGATGATCTATTTATACAAAATTATTTCTCTTAAGTGGTCGGTGAAGAAAATGAACAAATTTTATTCCCACCAGAACAACTTGCTACTGGGAAGCTCCATTTTTATTACATGTCTATGGTGATGCTTTTTATGCTTGACATATTTTGATTAATGACCATATGCTCTATGGAATTGTTGTATTGTCAACTCCATATTTGATTTATGAAGAAGTGCGCTCTACAAAAGTCACATACCATTAAAGTTCAAGGTAACACACTCACTGAAGTTGTTTTTTCAGTACGTTTGCTTGGTACTGTCGTATAACGGAGAAAGAACTCACGGATGTTTCATACTTTTAATATACAAATACAAACACACATGTGTACGAGTGGAATACCAAAGCCGAACTCCCCCTCTCTCTTACATTTGAGAATCGTATATATAAAGACAACCTGTCATAAGGACATTTTATAATGTATTTAAATACACACGTTTTAGAGTTACATATATTAATCATTTTGACATAAGATCAGTCCGCTTGTATCCTGAACTATAATACTCATAAATCATGTCATGTTCCATAGTGCACATTATGAAATAAAAACCTTAATATATGTATATACATGTTGACTTGTCATTCTTTTTGAATATAGCGTGTATGACTCATTAGCCTGTGCAACCAGCTATACGACAATTCCTCCTTTACTTATATATAAAAAAATTTAAAAAAAGTATTAAACAAGGTATTATTTAATATCAAACATTTCAAACTCGTTCTAACAAATTAAAAAAAATCTAAAATCTAAAATCAACTTGACATCTGTTTTACCCCTAAGGTAAGGATGTTTTACATCAACCTTTTGTTACTTTATTCTCAAAGATAAATCGCCGAAGGTAATATCCGGTCAGAGATGTCCGGTCAGAGATGTTATCTAATGACTTTTTATTACTTTATTTTTAAAAGAAAAAATCACCTTAGGTCATATCATCTCTGATTGGTCAATTGAATATCGTGTGTAACCTTTTCATGTTTGAATTCATTTTAATAGAAAAATTTGGATAGATACAATGTAGCACAGGTAAGTTTACTTTTGATATTAGTTTTAAAAATTTTGAATAAGTAAAATAATAATTATTGTTAAATGTTCGATTAATCTTTATGCAAAAAAAAAAATACAAAAATAATATGTTAAAGTAACATAAGGTAAATATTATAGCTTTATAAGTTTTTCAATAAATATTAAATTTCCTTTATTTCATCATAAAAAAAGAAAAAAAAGTTAATTTCTAGAGATCAAGAAAACTTAAAAACAAACAAATAAGTTAACAATTTTCAAAGAACAAATTATTTTAAGAATATTAATTAGAAAAACTTTAAGGTATAAAATTTAACAGAATTATATGTATGATAAGAGTAAAAAAGATATTTATATACGAAAAAGTTTAAAAAATATTATAAACAATTGATAATTGATAAAATGTCCAGGTGTTTCATTTCCTGTAAAACGTGTATTGTGCATGCGCATTGAACACTTCCTGTGACAGGTATATTTTTTGTAACAGGTACTTGCTGACATCAGTATGGTTTGGTCATCGTGACGTGTCGGGAATTTCAAATTGTTGGTATGTAGCTTTCTTAAGTATAATTTTAAATTGACACTCATAATTGTTCATAAATGTTTGATGTTCTTGAAGATTCTTTTAAATTAATATATATGTATTTGATATGTGTAAACGTAGACTTTATACACAAGTTGATAAAGTTATATTCAAATATTTATTGGCACATCTGTAAACGCTGTTCTTGTTTCGTCGTTGTAAAAAGAATGTCTTGTATTGAACAATACAACAAAGTGATGATAGATCTATAATTCTTCATTCATGTAGCAATGCTTTTGAGTAAAAGGTAATTAAATTAAAAGTTTGCTGTTGCACGATTCTTGCAAATGTTTATGTGATATTTATTTTGGATATCTCTGTCGCGCACAAATAATTATTTTGATAAGAAGTTGTCATCAGTATTTCTCTGGGTTTTTGTTTTTAAGTTTATATAACACTTAGAAAAACACATTCTATTGATAAACGGAAGTTTTCGGCTTCTCTGGTTGAAGACAGGAACAAAAGTTTATTTGATTCCACAATTTTGTTGTTGTTGTTGTTGTTGACGGCTGTGTCAGCATAGTTATATATTTTAAACATCGTAGACGCTTATTTCATATAATTTTACATCGAAGAAGGTGTTTATGGTTATATCTGCATGGTTTTACATCGAAGAAGGTGTTTATGGTTATATCTGCATGGTTGTACATCGAAGATGGTGTTTATGGTTATATCTGCATGGTTTTACATCGAAGAAGGTGTTTATGGTTATATCTGCATGGTTTTTGTTGTACATAGTTTGACATCGTAGAGGCTGACTGTAATATTTCTAGTCAGGCGGTGTTTGACTGTACCGGCGAATTCGCTCGCACCTCTCTGTCTTGGCTGGACGACAAGTGATCGTTAGACCAATATTTTGCATTTTCGTCCGTTGTCAGATCGGTTAATAGATATTATATACAATAAACATAATTTTGTTTTTTCAGATATTTGAACAACAAGACAACTGTCATAAAATGCATAGGATAAGAATTCCCATGAAAGATGTTCTTAAGTGTAAGTATCTAATTTATGTAATACTTGATATTTAAAATTTTTACTTTTCATATTGAATTTTTTAGACATTTTTTGTTAGTTTTTAACTAAGCTATTAACTTTAGTTTTATTTCGACAATAAGACTTATCCCAATTTAAACTTTATTTAATGATTGTGCGTTGACAGTTTGAAACATGTATGTATACACATGTTATTCTAATATGAAATAAAGTAAATAATCAATTTGAAACTCATGATTAAGTGCTGTCATTTACTTTGAAATGCATTTTAATTAACCGATCTATTAATAAACATATAGCGAATAACGATCATTTTAATCAATAAAAAAATCAAAGATATATATTTCTAATAAAAGCAAGTTGAAACTTGATATAAATGAATACAACCACCAAAAATATAAAAATATATGATTAAATAATGTAATTTTCTGTTTTGTTTTATTATCGTTTCTTGTAACATATATATATTTTTTTCTTTCTATAATAACTATTTACAATGCCTGAGGTCAATTTACCGAAAATTAGTATAGCATATAACACGAAATATAACGTTCTATAACATACTGGCTAATCCTTGTAAAAACATTTTAACATTCGGTTTCAAGCGTTTATTATTATGTACCTTTGTGTTTACCTTACCAGATACTTTATATCGTGGTTTTACAATACTTTTCTTTTTAGTAGAAATAGAGTTTATAAACATTTCATTATCTGAATCGTTATCATCAGCCATTGAATCTGACTGAATAGCATTATATGCTGCTTGTGACTGAGGATTGCTATTTACTTGTATGGAATTTGAGTCTGATAATTCTGAATCAGTCTGCGATTGCATTTCTTCTGAATGTGCATTACTTTGAGCATTTTCATTATTTGAAATTTGTTGTTGTTGTCGAAGATGTTTCTGTAATTCAGCTAATGGAATATCATCTTCACTATCAGAATTTGACCTTTCTTTTCTTACATTCTTAGCAACTTGGGGTAATACTGATTCTGGTATTTCTGAAGCATCATCAGTATCGCTATTTTCAGGTGTAACTACAAATGTGGCATTTCTTTTTGGTCTGCCAGTATCATCTGCTTTTGGTATTGACCAGTCATTAATATTTGCGAGCCTAATTTGTTCTGCATGGACTTTAACTGTTGAATTGTCAAACTGATTTTTTATTATATAAGTTAATGGTGACCTTTTCTCCATAATTCTATAAAATGGCTTCCAATTCACATCTAGTTTGCTTCTCTTACGAAAATTCTTCTAAAATACGGGATCGCCTATTTCAAATTTGATATCTTTTGCGGTCTTATCTGCATAGCTAGCTTGTTCTCGTTTTGCTTTTTTAAGGTTCTTATAAACAGATAGAAAAGTATTATGTTGTTCTTGTAATGCAATTTTGTGATACTCTTCGCCATGATAGCGCTGTCTTGGTTGTAGCAACAGGTCGACCGGTAATATGGCCTCACGGTTATATAACAAATAAAATGGACTATGCTTTGAAGTCCTAGAGACATTGAATCTAAGTGCAGCTAGTGTCATGTTAAGATGAATATCCCATTGTTTGAGATTTCCCTGGATTCTTTTAGCTAAGATATCATGTATGACATGGTGAGAACGTTCATTTTTCGCGTTTCCGGCAGCATGATAGGTAGTTGTACGCACGTGATCAATTTTTAACTCTTTAAGTGTTTCTTTGAAAGCATTACTTGTGAATTCTGATCCATTGTCAGTGACAATTTGTAATGGACATGCGTATCTAGGGTAAATTTCTTCTAATAGTAAATGTATAATTGTATCAGTACTTTTGTCAGCAGTAGGGAAACACTCGGGATAACCACTGTAAAGGTCAATAAAACAAATAATGTTGCGGTTACCACTCATTGTTTTTTCATATGGCCCTATAACGTCGATACTCATGGTCTGGAATGAATACATTGGTACTCTTGTTTCGCCCATAGGTGCTTTTATTTTTGTAAGATTACGTGACTGACAATCAACACATTTAGAAACATATTCATACAATTCTTTGAACATATTTGGCCAAAAATATTTTTGTTTTATTGTTGTAAATAACCTCTGTGTTCCTGGTGACCATTATTTAAATGACATTGAGTAATGACAAGGTGTTTTAAGTGTTGCGGAACAAACAATCTAAGATTAGGATTATCATCTACATTAGACAGATAATAAAGAACTTGGTCAATTTCTAAATATTTGCTCTGCACTGATTTAGTTGGCTGTCCGTGACGTAGTAACATTTTCAGTTCAAGAATAGTTTGATCTTTATCTTGCTCTGAGGCCATATTTAATTTTTCGAATTGTTTAATAACTTCTACAATTGGCTCTTGAAATTGGTATTCTTTGTTTGCTATTTCTTTGGCATTAAAGTGCGTAGAATCAAAAGCATTTACTTCATAGCTTTCATCAGTTTTCACAGCATGTACATTATCATTATTTGAATTATTACTTGAATTTGAGACTGTTATTTCAAAGGCATTGTCATTTATATCAGGCTCATAAAGTTCAATATCGGACTTGTTAGCATTTTTATCATCAGCTGGAGGTCTAGAAAAGAAATCGGCAATTAAATTTAATTTTCCTGGCAAATATTCAATTTTACAGTTATAGGCAGAAATATTTAAAGCCCAAAGCTGAATTCTTTTGTTTTGCATAGGTGCTTCTAAAAGATATTTTAAAGGTTTATGGTCTGTAAATATAGTAAACTCTGCATTATGTAAATAAACATCTAATTTTTGTAACGCATAATGAATACTGAATGCTTCTTTTTCTATGGTACTGTACTTTCTTTGAGATTCACTTAATTTATGAGATAAGAAGTATATAGGTTTTTCAATACCAGATTTGTCACATTTCTGACTTAAACATGCTCCGACCACTAAATCTGAGGAGTCCGTGTATAGAATATAAGGCTTATTTGGGTCTGGGAATGCTAAAAGTGGAATACGTGTTAACATTTTCTTTAATTGTTCAAAACTTTCTTGACATTCTTTTGTCCATTTAAACAAAACACATTTTCTTGTAAGATTGATTAAAGGTTCAACAATTTTAGAATATTTAGGGCAAAATCTTCTATAAAAACCAGCAGCACCAAGTAAAGATCTGACATCCTTAACACATTTTGGTACCGGAAGTGACCTAATAGCTTTTACTTTTTCTGGGTCTGGTTTTATACCTTCATGATCAATTATAAAACCAAGGTACTTTGTTTGTTGCTGAATAAAACTGCACTTTTTCAGTTTAAGTTTTAATTTATGCTCTTTAAGCTTTGAAAATACTGTCTGTATATGTGATAAATGTTCATTTAATGACTTCGAAAATATCAGAATGTCGTCAAGATAACTGACAGCAAATGCCTCTAAACCTTGTAAAACATGTGACATGAGTTCTTGGAAAACTCCAGGGGCAGAAACTAGGCCAAAAGGGGTTCGGTTGAACTCAAACAAGCCTCGGAATGTCGTAAAAGCCGTTTTTTCCTTGTCTGATTCATGCACGGGTATTTGCCAAAACCCTGAGCGCATGTCTAGTGTTGTAAAATATTTTGAAGACCCTAGTAGTGTTAAAATATCGTCAATTAATGGGAGAGGATATGATGTTGGCTTTGTAATTTTATTCAATTGTCTAAAATCAACACAAAACCGTTTACTGCCGTCACGTTTTCCGACAATAACAACAGGAAATGAATAAGGGCTATGACTTCTTCTTATAGTATTAGCATCTAACATCTCATCGATAGCATCACTCATAAATTTTCTATTGTTTAAAGGTGTGCGATATGGGCGTAATTTGATTGGAGGATGATTACCTGTTGGTATTTTCATGGTTACAGTATCTGTCTGTGATAATTCAGAATCTTTATTTGCGAAAATATTTCTATTTTTCCTTAATAAGTCTCTAACAATATTAAAATGCTCTGAAGGTGTATGAATATCACGTTCGAAATCGTTGTTAAGAGGGGAAGTTGTTTGAAGAGCCTCTGTGACCGAGTTAATGCTCTCAACTTCTGAAACTTTAGCAACTACTGAATCTCGTTTTAATCTTATAGTTTTATGCGTATTGTTGACAATCATAATAGGAAATCTTCTATCAGCCGAAAGTATCATAACAGAATTTGTTATCATAAGGCCTGGTTCAGAAGCAATAATTCCAGTTTCTATACTTTTTAATTCATATATTTTATCATTTTCCAATCCTGGATTTTGTTTTAATTTAGCAGTGCACACATTAACTGTTTGAGGTTTCAGAATAACATCCTGTTTTAATCTAACAATTGATGCAATATGAATATCTTCTTCGAGGGGTACATATGTATTATTAACTCTTAAGCAGCCTAAATCAAAATATAATCTAACGCCATTTTGTGTTAACCAATCACGGCCTAAAATAATATTTCTATTCATTTTAGAAACAACATAGAATTTTTGAGTTGTTTCTGTTTTCCCTATTTGAAAATTTAGATTTATATAACCATCTATATGTAAATAATTTCCGTCAACTGAACATAAATTTATTTTCTGTTTTATAAGTTGAGGGGGATTCTTCAATTTTCTATATATTCTGCGATGCAGAAGACAAACTTCAGCACCTGAATCTACTAACGATCTGTATTTATATTTTTCTATTTTAATCAAACACGAATTAGGGCTTCCAGCTAATGCTATACTAAATTTTGGTATTTTATCGTTCCTGTCAATGACCCCTTTGTGACAGGAACTTGCTAGTTTTCCTGAAAATTTATTTTGTTTCTGTCGTAAAAATTTTGTTTACGACATTCACGCATAATATGACCAAAATTATTACATTTCCAGCACTTAATCTTTGATTTCAAACTATTATTGCTATTATTTTTCCTAAATCGTGAAAAATTTTGTCGGTGAAATACAGAATATATTTCATTTTTCCTAAATCTACAACTACGCACATGGTGACCTGGTCTCTTACAGTACACGCAAAAATTTCTTGTATAATAATGATTAGAATTATTTGCTCTGTAATTATTGTATTTTGCGTGATTTTGAGAATTAGAAAATTTTACTCTGGCAGAAAATCTAGCTCTGAAATTCTGTTCATTCATTGCGCAAGTAATTGCTTCTTGTAAAGTTTTTGGCTTTTCTCTCATAAGTTTAAGTTTTAAATAATTATGCGCTAAATTATCCGTAAACAATTCTACTAACTGAAGTTCAATTAAACTATTATCTCCTAGTTTATAATTTTCATAAGCGGTTTCAGCACAATTAATAAATTTTTCCCCAAAAATTTGAACACTTTCTCCCAAATCTAGTACTTATTTCTTCTTTTAATTGTTCCCACGAATTACGAGGATTATCACGCAAATATCTACATATAAAATCGCTTGCAGTCCCTTTACTTGATTGAAATGCGACTAATTTTATTTTATTATCATCCAAACCTTTTAAAACAGCATATTTTTCTATAGATTTTATCCAGTCATTAAAATATTTAGAATTTCCATCAAAATTTTGTACTATTTCTGATAAACCCTGTGTACCTATGACAGTTGAAATATTGTTCAATTTATCTGACAAATTTTCAAAAATTGTAGCTATTTCTTGATCTGACATCTTCAAAATTAGCAAATTACAGGTATATAAACGATCACTCACCTTTAATTTTCTATTTCAGGTACTTCGTTGTGTCCCGCTGTCCAAAATCGTCGCTTCGACATCGCTGGTCTTAGGCGCCAAATCAACCGTTGTCGTATAACGGAGAAAGAACTCACGGATGTTTCATACTTTTAATATACAAATACAAACACACATGTGTACGAGTGGAATACCAAAGCCGAACTCCCCCTCTCTCTTACATTTGAGAATCGTATATATAAAGACAACCTGTCATAAGGACATTTTATAATGTATTTAAATACACACGTTTTAGAGTTACATATATTAATCATTTTGACATAAGATCAGTCCGCTTGTATCCTGAACTATAATACTCATAAATCATGTCATGTTCCATAGTGCACATTATGAAATAAAAACCTTAATATATGTATATACATGTTGACTTGTCATTCTTTTTGAATATAGCGTGTATGACTCATTAGCCTGTGCAACCAGCTATACGACAGTACTATGGTAAAAATATGAAAAACGAGAAAGATCAACAAGGAAGGGTTGCATTCAATATATTCATCCCTCAACAACAAAGGACCACCTGCAAGGAGCCCAGCAGGATACCAGACAGGACAGGGCACACGGGCAAAACAAGGACGGGTTGTTAATTCAAACCATCCAAAATAGGAAAAAATAGAGATCAACAAGGCAACCAAAGACAAAAACCAACCAAAAGACTCACACCAGTAAAAGGGCACGGGGGAATGGGTTGGTTTCAGCAGAATATAAGCAAAGACATTGAATTTTGTCATCAAAGTATTTATTGTGGTCATGTAACGGGGTATATGATGCCAATTTCTGTTTGATGAATAACAATTGATGTTTTGATTGGAAAAGAAACTTAAACTGCTGTGAATATATTACTTCTGCATAATTTAAATGGATACAGCTCGCATTTAGGGTTACTTTTCTTCATTTTAGTCACTAATGACTCTTTTTTGAAAATATGTGGTATTTCTTAACGTGAAGGAAAACTATCAGAATTCGTGTACTTTTCGCGGCAGCTGTCAAAATTTGAGAACTGTAGGAAATATTTTTCTGTGATACCTTAAAAAGATCGATGTTACAGCCTTTACTCCTTTAGATATATAAATGCCCAACTCAATATCAAGTACACTGAATAATTGCCATACAAGATAAAATGTGTTGTGTGTTTTAAACAAGCTGCGTTGCATTTTACATGTTTCAAACAAATAATATTACTAGATATTAGATATGCTTCATATTGCGTGTCAACTACCTGATTTGAAACTGATTAGTATTTGCGCTTGATCATACAATTAACATGTGAACTTTTATCCATAATTTAATATTGAACGCTGTAAGATATAATCGAATGATAACACTTTAATTAAACTTATGTTTTGTGTATTATTTAAATGGCAAGATAAGGAAGTGGAAAATAAATGAACATTCAATAGTGTTCACCAAATACACCTTTCATTTTATTTGATTTATCTTTCAGAAACAGTGAGTATGTAAAATAAATGGGGTTTTTGTTTGTAAAAAAATTAAATGATGCTAAGAACATAAATGATATATCAATTAGCTTACCGACATTCAAATTGTATTATATTAAGTTCATCTGCTGTGGAAATTATCGTTTGAACTTTAAGAAAATATTTCAGAATGTGAGTATTTATTTAAATAGAAATTATAGTAAATCGCCTTTCAAAGTGAATGGCGCTTACTCGGAATCTTTGCTAAACGGATGAAACACTACTTAAATAGTAGAATGACATATTTTACCTGTTCACATACAATATTCATGTGTATTGAATACTAGAACATTCCATGTTACAATTCTATTGAGATTTGACCATAATTGGCACCAATGTAAAATTATTGCTGAGAGTTTTCTTTTTTAATATTTCATAAGAAAAAGCTTTATTTCCCATTAAGATAAACAAGTAAACCTTATCATTGTTGTATTAAAATTCAATTAAAGCTGGCTGGACTCTCATGACTAATATTGAATACTTTATAGTAGCACCGGTTCTCATTAATATGTTTGACTGTTTTAAAGATAAATTTTTATACTTCAAAGTTAATGAATTTTATTTCAATTTGAGGGTACTTATCATTTGATAGTATTTGTATACCTGACCGGTACTTGAACACGAGACCATCAGAACGACGTTCGGCGGCTTTACCGACTAAACTATCCGGCCGCTTACACATCCTCTCCTCTATATAGTGAACCTTTCTAAACAGTGGCATACTTACCGCTATATTGAATTTCGTCCTCTAATTCCTAGGGTTACAGAGCAATAATATTTAAACCCTAAGCAATACAGGGCAGTCATGGCTGGCTCTATGTTGAGCACCAAATGACATAGGATAAGAAATATGTGCAGACTGACCGGGATTTAAACCTGGAATCCGGAATACCGTTTTAGACAGTAAAAATTATTTGTAAAGAAATAGTTTAATATTTATCAAGTTTATAGTTGATGTATATTTTACAGGATATATATGTGTTGATAAAAGTAATAAATAAGCGTCTTATCAGCAGAAGAGAGAGTTAATACTAATTAAAGTCAGCTGTTATAAACTACGGTGGAATAAACATGTTTGATAAATATTAACCTTAAGTCCTTAACACGATTATAATGACAATTATGTAAAAAGAGTAAAAAATGTAGTGAAAGAAGATCAGAAATCAGCAATTTATGTGCTTTATGTCACGTACAGTCTGTAATTGGAAAAAATGAAATACGCACAAATAATTTCCTATTCAGTTCAAATTATAACTATAATTTCAAAAGGAGATTTCGATCACATTTGAATATCTTTTTGATCAAATATCATTCAAGCACAAAGGAAGGGGAGAATCGATAAGGTCATGAATATTGTAATATGTTGTGTAAAATGATGAATAGAAAGGAATTTTGATATTCAAAACAAATTTTCGTCACGAAATGAAAATTATTCTTCCTCATTAACAAACAAAACATTAATTTTGAGATTCCACAAAAGTTGTTAAATACTTTAATACAACTGTTATGTTTTATTGTGCTTAATCCAATAAAGGATTTGGTGAATATATTCTGCAAGACTAATATGCATGTCAACGTTTGAATTACTTCTTTAAGATAATATTCAAAAGAAGTAAACATAAATTTTCATATTTTTCTTTAAGAATGAGTACGTAATAACATTATAGTTACAATTTTTAAAATGTTTTACAATCACATGTCGTGAAAACATCGTTGAAGCAATTTGAGGAAATATAAGACGTGCAAACTATTTCTAATTGCAATATTAGGGGAGAAATACTATTTCTATGAACTTTCACACAAAACAAATTATGACTGTAATATAAGAGAACAGTTAAAATAGTAACCTGTGTTTTTTATAGAGAACAAAACCAACGTCTTTTTACAGTGTTAATTTAAACAAACATTGAGTAATGTTTGTAAAAAGTTTTTTTTCCGGTTTTAGTTAGTTTTAACCAATTTTACTAGTCTGAAGCTATAAGTTCTTTGACATAAACTGCAAATCTAATTGTTGCTTAATTTCAAAACATCTTGATTTAATTGTGATACAGTACAGCTTTATTATCTTGAATTAGACACAGATATTGGCAATTATTCTATGACAGATTTTACTGCAATTTATAAGAATGTTTAATACTCAGTTAAACAGTTATAAGGTGCAACTTTTACGAATGATATATAAATATATAAAAAATGTGCGGTTAAACAGCGGACTAGTAATATCACATGAAACAAAATAATCTTGTGTTGTTGTTATTGTTGCTGCTCCTTCTGCTGTTGTTGCTGTTTTTGTGTGGTGATGGTGGTTAGAGTAAGTTTGCTCTTGTTGTTTTTTTCACTTTAAGTGACGAGTCTTGACTTCTTAAATCTTTATTTCAAACACGTGACTAGGTACAAACATGTAAAAATATATAACCATTCATTAAAAAAATGCAGTTATAAAGGACAAATCCTTGATATGAAAATCAGTATTATTTGTAATGTAATAAATTATTTATTTCATTTGAAATAAAAATTGTTTAATGTATTGTATAATTAATTTGCCTTTAATAACATTCAATCGAAATCTCTAACAAATGCTTTTTTGATATAAGAAACAACAGTTTTGTCAGGTGTTTATTGCCCATAATTCATAGTCTAACTTCGAAGCTCTTATTTTAGGATTTTATCAAAACATACTGCATTAATTTAACTTCATACAATGGTTAAAGTGCACTCGGTTATCACCAGTTAAATAGTTAGGCAATAAATTGCAAGTGGTTTAGGGGAATATACTTAAATTAATTCCAACTGTTAAACTAGCTCTCATTATGTTTTTGAATGCCAACATTTTTATACAAATAGACGCAAACTGTAACAAAACTTAAACGGCTTCTACGTTACACTGATGATGCTATTATCACAAATTATATTCACACTTATGACTCATTTACAAAATGATTTCTCCGATCTCTTATATACGGAGCCCCTAAGGTGACATTCTCGACACTTTTCCCCCGGCATTTAATTCGTTTTTACGAAATATTAATTCGTAATTACGAAATATCAATTCGTTTTTACGAAATATTAATTCGTTTTTACGAAATATTATTTCGTAATTACGAAATATTAATTCGTAAAAACGAAATGTTATTTCGTAATTACGAAATATCAATTCGTTTTTACGAAATATTAATTCGTATTTACGAAATAATAATTCGTTTTTACGAAATGTTATTTCGTAATTACGAAATATTATTTCGTTATTACGAAATATTAATTCGTAAAAACGAAATGTTATTTCGTAATTACGAAATATTAATTCGTTTTTACGAAATCTTATTTAAGGTCATTTTGAGCTTGATAATGAACCTATTAATCTCACAAATGGGTCATTTACATGCCTTGATCAACTTTGCGATTATAAGCCGAATGGTTCTCAAGTTATTATATTTAAGTCAACAGGGTTTTTGAGTGAGAAGTCATTCTCTATCCAAAATGGTCTTTTTTCCCCATTGTCAAATACATGTTCCTATCAGCAATGTTTTAATGTTAGAGGCAATCCTTTACGACATGTATCTTTAAAACAGAAACATGCTATATTATTCTGTTCTTTTATCATATACATAAGTAAAACTAATGGGACGAGGAGGGGGTTGGTCCAGATTTCACTAATCTAATCAATTTAAAATGAATATTTCCTCACAATTTAGTATTAGAAATGTCCGTGTTTGGATTTGAAGCACAGGACCCCCATTTTAAGAAAATTTTCCTAGCGCATGTACTATCACGGCTGTGGCTCAACGCTATTGACATGCGAATATTTTAATTTATGTACAATAGTGTAAAGTTAAAAAACTTGGGAAGAACAAAAATCACTATTTATATTGCATGTACATGCCTTATATTAAGTCAGGAACTTAATTTTGAGATCTTATTTATAACTATTACCAAAACTCTTTG